GAGCTTTGTAGGTGTTTAATAAACTCAGTGCTTACTCCCTTTTTTACGGAACAGTTTTTTGGGTTTTTTTGTTTCGTTTCGTTTTGTTTTGTTTTAGAGAGATTTTTGCTATAGGGCATGTGCACTTGCCGGAGAGACAGACAAAAAGCAAGAAATCACCCCCCAGGAGGGATGGCCATGCTGCAGTCCCTTCTCCTTTCTCCACTCGGGATCTTGGGCACAAACACACATACACCCGACGGGAGTTTTAAGCCACTGAGTCCGGAACTCGACCGCGGCTGACTACGTGGCAGTCTAACAAGGTCGCTATTCCGCCATCTGTTGGTCCTGTAATCCCGCGTAACTGACCGTATGGTTCAACTCCCGGAATGGAGAAGGGATTGCTACATGGGGGTGATTTCTTGCTTTCTGTCTCTCTCCAGTGAGTGCACATGCCCTAGAGCAAAAATCTCCTCCCCGCCAAAAAAAAAACTTAAATGCTACTTTTTAAAAAAAGTGTAATGCCGGAAGGTGTGTGTGTAAGAGAGAGGAAGCACCCCAACACTGGTCTGTTCACACTGCAATCTCTTCTCCTTGGATCCCCCATTCTGTCAGGGCCTTGGGTGTGCACGTACCCAGCACGTTTTTCAAGCCATGTGGCATCCAGTTTAACTGTTGTATTAAGGGGCCCTAGGGAACCCGCAGGTAGCGTGGTGGTTAAGGTGCTGGACACTCCCACATGGCCGTGGTTCAAATACCAGACCTGGTGGCTTGCTTTCTCAATTTCCCTCTCTCTCTCTCTCTGGTCAAATTAAAATAAATGAATGAATAAATAAAATTGAATACATAATTTAAAAAAAAACACACACTGGTGTGTGTGCGAGTAGGGCCCCTGAATTAAAGTATTTTAAAATACTGGGGCCAACAGGTGACATGGTAGTTAAAGGTGCTGGACTCCCACATGGCCGACTTCAAGTCTTGAACCTGGTGGCTTGCTTGCTTTCTCTCTCTCTCTCTCTCTCTCTCTCTCTCTCTCTCTTTCTTTCTCACTGATCAAACTGGAAAATAATAAAGTTAAATAAGAAATTATTTAAAATAAGTATTTTTAAATACTAATTAATGTCATCTTCAAAACAACTACTACAGCCCCAGCAAGTGATGTGAGGATGCTGGACTCCCACATGGCCTGGCCGACTGTGGTTTGAGTCCCGTACCTGAAGGCTTGAGACTTACACCAGGCATGTGTACATGTGTGCCCCAAATCCTAGGAGGGCAGTAGAGGAGGGGGTTTTGGTATGACTGTCTCCCCGGAGGGCTGATTTCTCACTTTTCCTGTCTCTCCGGTGATCACATGTGTCCTATCGCAAAAATCTCTCTCTTAATAAAAAAGGACCAGTAGATGGTGTAGTGGTTACATCACTGGACTCCCATGTAGTCAACTGTGGTTTGAGTCCTGCACGCGGCGACTTAAAACTAAGGCCGGTTGCATATGTGTGTGTGCCCAAAATCCTGGGAGGCGAATGAGTAGAAGGGATTGTGGCATGGCGATCCCCCCAAAGGGTGATTTCTCATTTTCTCTCTCCAGCAAATGCACATGCCTCATAGCAAAAATCTCTCTAAAAAAAAAAAAGAAAAAAGAAAAAAAAACTATTACAATATGCAGTTTATAGATGATATAAAATGAGGTCCAGAGAGGTAAAGCAATTTGCCTAAGGTCACATAGCCACATAGCTTATGTCAGAACCTGCCCGTAGAATTTAAGCTCTTTTTTTTTTTTTAAGAATTATTTAGTTTTATTCATCATCATTATTTTTATTTACTTATTTATTTTGGAGAGGTTTTTGCTATAGGGTGTGTGTGCTTGCCAGAGAGACTGAAAGTGAGAAATCACCTCCCAGGGGGGTGGCCACACCACAATTCCTTCTCCTCCATTCTCCTCTTGGGATCTTGGGCATGAACACACACACACACACACACACACCCGGGCATGAGTTTAAGCCACCAGGTCCAGGACTCTAAACATGATCGACTGCATGGGAGTCCAGCAACGTAGCCATTATGCTATCTGCTGATCCCCATCATTATTAATTTGTTAATTCAACTACAGAGAGAAATTTAGAGAGCAAGCTACTAGGTCCGGGACTTGAACTGTGGTCAGCCATGTGGCAGTCCAATGACTTAATTACCATGCCACCTGCCAGCCCCTAAGCTCTCTTTAAATTATTATTTTATTTATTTTTTAAAGTTTGCTATGGGGCACCTGTACTGACCAGAGAGACAGAGAAAGAAGGAAAATGAGAACGCAAGCCACCAGGTTTAGGACTTGAACCATGTTGGCCCTGTGGGAGTCCAGCAGCTCAGCCACAATGCCACCAGCTGGTCCCTGGAATCTAAGCTCTTAATCACTATTCTGCATCATCTAACCCCTAGAACAGCACTGTCCAATAGAACTTTTTTTTTCTTTTTTTGGAGATGCTTTTGCTATAGGGTACATGCACTCACCAGAAAGACAAAGAGAGACAGACAGAAAGCGAGAAACCGCCCCTCTCAGAGGGGATGGCTGCACCTCAATCCCTTCTCTTCCATTCTCCTCTCGGGATCTTGGGCATGCACGCACATGTGCCTGGCGTGAGTTTAAGCTGCCTGGTCCAGGACTCAAACTGCGGTCAACTACATGGGAGTCCAGTGACGTAGCCATTATGCTAACTGCTGGTCGCTCCAATAGCACTTTCTGTGAAATGTTCTGTGTCTGCCTTGTTCACTGTGGTAGACGTTAGCCACCTGTGGCCGGTGCAACTGAGGAGCTATTTATTTTTTAAAATTAATTTATTTTAATTAGACCAAAGAGGGACAGCAGAGTGAGAGAGAGCTCATTTAAGGAGCTATTTAATTTTAATGAATTTAAATGTAAGGAGTTGCTAGGGCCAGCAGGTGGTGTGGTGGTTAAGGATGCTGGACTCTCACATGCCCAACTGCAGTTCAAGTTCTGGACCTGGTAGCTTACCTTCTCACTTTTTCTCTCTCTCTCTTTCTTTCTCTCACTCATTCTGTCTCTCTCTGGTCAAATTAAAATAAAGTTTAAATGAAATAATTCGGGCCCAGTAGGTGGTGTGGTGGTTAAGGGTGCTAGACTTCCACGTGGTTGACCGTGGTTCGAGTCTGGGCCTGGTGGCTTGTTCTCTCACTTTCTCTCTCTTGCTCTGTCCCTCTCTGGTCAAATTTAAAAACAAAGTTAAATAAAATAATTCTTGAAAATTATTGAAAAATAATAATTATTGAAAAAATACTAATTCTCTGGGACCAGAAGCTGGCATGGTGGTTAAGGCACTGGACACTCCCACATGGCTGACCATGGTTCAAATCCTGGACCTGGCAGCTTGCTTTCTCACTTTTCTCTCTCTCTCTCTCTCTCTGATCAAATGATAATAAATGAATGAATAAATAAAATTAAATTTAAAATAATTTAAAAATTACTAATTCTCTGAATACATAAATGTAAATAGTTACTTTACCTAGTACCCACAGCCAACAAAGACCTAGGAAGTACGGAGATGCTGCCTTTTTCTAATTTGGGACACCTCACAAATTTTAGGTCCTCTTTGCCCAGGGGCGGTGTCAGTCTTCCCTGTGTTGTTCTCATTTAGAAAATGTGCTGCGAGGGAGGGGCAGTAGATGCTACTTTTACCCGCACTTTGCAAACAGAAAACACGGCTTAGAAAGGAAAACTGGCCCTGTGGTCTGGTGGTTAAAGGAGCTGGAACCCACGTGGCCGACTGCAATTCAAGTCCCAGCCCCAGAGGCTGGAAAAACGAGCTGTGTGTGTGTGTGTGTATGTGTGTATTGTCCATGTCCCAAAGTCCTGACAGGAGGGAGAAATGGAGAGGGGACTGTGTTGTGATGACCACGCCCCATCAAGGGGGGTGCCTTCTCTCTCCCTGGGTGTGTCTGTCTGTCTGTCTGTCTGTCTGTCTGGCAAGCACGCGTGCCCTCTGGCAATAAGTAAATATAAAACAACTTGCCTCATGGTCACAAGGCTGCATTGTATGGAGGTTTCTGGCGGGCGCCCTGTTTCCTCCTGGCTATGTGACTGTGGGCATGCCTTTTAACCTTGCTGGACCAGTTTGCTCATCTCCAATACCTGCTCTGCTCACCTCTGGGTTGTGAAAACACACGGAAGAGTTACACATCAATGAAGCACTTTCATACGCATTAACAAGGGCATTCCCTGGCTCTCCGGGGGCCCGTAGGTAAGACTGAATGGGAGCTCCGCTGCTCTGTGGGGCAGGTGTGGGTATCCTGAAGACCCTGAGTTGGGGGCAGAGGGGCCTGCCCGGGCTGGGACATCGGCATACCTACGCAGGTCCAGCTGTGTGCGCAGCGCCTTCCCCCGCAGTGTCATCTTGGCGCTGAGACGGGCATCCTGCAGGAAAGTGGGGAGGAGGACGAGGTCACTGACCAGGAAGGTCCACCCCCCACTTCTCCCAGGTCCCTACAACCCCCACTCGGGCCTGCACCATGATCATGCTGGACAGCTGGACCTCAGGCTGGTCTGGCGGGACCAGGGCAATTGTGACGCCGGCAGTGACAGAGATGGTGGTGCCTGAGGGCTTGATGGTGCAGCGCGGTGGGGCCGTGACCCGCAGCTCCAGCTTCAGCGGAGAGTCGATCACTGCAGGGTTCTGGGCACAGACCAAGGAGGGCCGCGTAAGTTCTCCATATGTTACTTCATGAGCCCCCAGGTAGGAAGGATGAGGCAGCCTTTGCCCTTCAGAAGCCCAGAGATTGCAAATACGAGATTGCTCTGGCTTCCAAAACCCCCTGGAACTGTCCAGCCTACGTGCCTTTGCACGCACAAAGGGATGTTTCCATCTCTTTCTGCTTTCCTAAATATTGCATGGTGGGAAAAGTCCTGATGCATTTCTGCATAGAAAGACAGAGGCGGGATGGCCATGCCACCATCCTTTCTCCTCCTTCTGGGATTTGGGGCACACAGTGCACACATGCCTGGCATGACCCTCAAGCCACCAAGTCTGGGACTCAAACTGCAGGCGACCATGCAGGAGTCCAGTGCCTTAACCACTACGCCACCTGCTAGCCCCACCTCTCTCTCTCCCCACTTTTTCTCTTAAGTCAGGGTCTTATTTTTTGTTTGTTTTGGTTTTTCATCTTTTTAAAATTTGCTATTGCAGGATCAGCAGATGGCATAATGGTCACATTGCTGGATTCCCATGTAGTCAACCACAATTCAAATCCAGGACCTAGTGGCCTAAAACAGGCTGGGCGCATGTGTGTGTGTGCCCAAAATCCTGAGAAGAGAATGGAGAAGGGATTGCAGACCCCCCGTCCCCCCCGGGGTGGGCTGATTTCTTACATTCTCTCTCTCTGGTGAACGCACACACCCTATAACAAAATTCTCTTCCACCCTCCACCCCCCAAAAAATTTGCTATGGAGTATATGTGCTTGCCAGAGAGAGAGACAGGCAAAGCAAGAAAGCAGGGGATTGGCCACACTGTGATCTCTTTTCCTCCATTCTCCTCTTGGGATTTGGGGCATGTACACACATGCATCAAGTGTGTTTTCCAAACCACTGTGTTTGGGACCTGAACCATGCTATTGGCCATGTGGAATCCAGTTGCCTTAATCACTCTGCCACCAGCTGGCCCCTGTTTGTTTTAGATGGAGTCCTGCTGTCCTGATATTCCTACCTCAGCCTCCCCGCTGGAGCTACAGGCGTGTGTTACCACATCAGAGTCTTCATTTCGACAGGGTCTTGCCCTGTTACCCAAGTCAGCCTCCAGCTGTCAGGCCTGCTTCAGCCTCCTGGAATCGCTGGGATTAGAGGCACACATGGCTGTGGCTGGCCTTTAAATTAAACTTGGGGTTGAACCTGGGTCTCCCATGTGGTCCTGGCCTGCAGAGCATAGTGTCTCAGCAGCACGTGCCACCACAGCTGAGCCCCAGAGTCCATGCTCTTAACTGCTCAGCCATGTGACAGTGGCACCCACAGCCCAGCAATGATAGCAACTGGTGTTTGGTGAACACTCCGTACCAGGTCTGCTCCAACTGCAGGAGAGAAGGTCAGTGTGACCTGATGTCACAGGTTCAAATTCTGTCACTCAAAATTGAACCAAGGACAGGGACCAGCAGTTGGCATAATGGCTATGTCGCTGGGCTCCCATGTAGTTGACTGTGGTTCAAGTCCCGGACCCGGTGGCTTAAACTCACACTGGGTGCATGTGCGTGTGTGCCCAAGATCCCGAGAGGAGAATGGAGGAGATGGGATTGTGGTGTGGCCATTCCCCCTAGGGGGTAATTTCTTGCTTTCTGTCTCTCTGCCTCTCTGTCTTTCTGGTGAGCGCATGCAAACTATAGCAAAAAACAAACAAACAAACAAAAACTCTCCAAAAAAAATTAAAAAACAAACAAACAAAAAATTGAACCAAGGACAGACACATCCGTTAAGGATAACAGAGGTATTTCTTTCAAGCTCTTTAACTCTCACATCCCTCCCCATTAAACAAGGAGAAATAAACAAAGCAATATATAGGAATTAATCATTAAAAATCACTGGGGCTGGCAGATGGCGTGGTGCATAAGGACGCTGGACTCCCACATGGCTGACTGTGGTTAGAGTCCCGGACCCAGTGGCTTGGTTTCTCACTTTCCCTCTCTCTCTCTCTGTCCCTCTATGGTAAAATTAAAATAACTACATTTTTAAAAAAATCATCTAAAGGGCATGTGCCCTTGCTGGAGAAAGTGAGAAAGCACCTCTCGTGGGGAATGGACACACCACAATCCCTTCCCTTCCGTCTCCCTCTTTTCAGGATTTTGACCACACACACACGAGCCCAGTGTATTTCTCAAGCCACTGGGTCAGGGACTCGAACCATGTGGTTGGTCGTATGGGATCTAGCTGCCTTCACCGCCACGCCGTCGTCTGGCCCCAGAATGAATCATTATTAAAGCCCCTGCACTCACAAAGCTTGGATTCTCCCATTCCTTGCAGCAGCTCTGTGAGGGACAGGACAGGAAATAGTACCACCGAGCTTGGCAGGGTGAGAGGACCTGGCCAGCGAGAGGCCAGGCCTTCTGTCTCCAGGGCTGCTGTGGGATCTCCACTGCATGCTCACTGAACCCCCTGCTGGTGTGCAGGTGGCATGCCCTAACCCCAGCCACATCCTCTCCTCCAACAGATGCTCACCAGCAAGACGATGCTCCCCAAGTAGGAGGCCCTCAACAGCATGTCCAGATCATGGGGTACCTGGACCAGGAAACAGCAGTGAGGCAGGGTCATCAGCTGCACAACAGACCCATCCCACAAATGGGTCTGGCTTACCTTGTCCCCCACCAGTGACAGCTTCAGGGACCCTGCCCGGAAGTAGCTCTCCATGGCAGAGTCGAAGAAGAACTCAGAGAAGGCCACGTACACCATCCGCTCCTCCTCCTGCAGCTGGGGCTCCACCGCCCCGTTGGGGAGGCTCCAGTTTGCCTCTGCCAGGGGAAAGAAGGCCCCCTGGGGTGTGGGGAATCAGGGTCAAGGCAGACTGGCCTGATACCCAGGTGACAGCAGATGTCCCCAGCCCTACACTAGGCACTGTGGGAGGATGGTGGGGGTCAGACCAGCCACTGTCCTTGGGAGGCTCACAGCATATCTCTCTCCATATTTAAAAGAAAATTTTGCTGGGAACAGCAGATGGTGTAATGGTCACGTCATTGGACTCCTACATGGTCAACTATGGTTCAAGTCCTGGACCTGGCAGCTTAAAATTCACTCCAGGTGTACATGCAGGGGTGCCCAAAATTCCAAGAGGAGAGTGGAAGAGAAGGGATTGTGGCATGGCCATCCCTGAGGAATGATTTCTCACTTTCCATCTCTTTGTCTCTCCACGAGTACACGCTCCATATAGCAAAAATCTCTCTCTCAAAAAAAAAAAAAGAAAATTGCCAGAGGGTGTGTGGGTGTGTGCACTCATAGCGGGAGACAGAAAGTGAGAAAGAACGCCCCATGTGGAGTGGTCATGCGACAGTCCCTTCTCCATTTCTCTATCCTGTCAGGATTTGGGGCAGGCAGGCACATGTATTTCAAGTCACCAGGGCTGGGATTTGAACACATGGTTGGCCATGTGGGATCCAGCTCCCTTAACTATGAGGTCACAGGGCCAGCCCTGTGCATAGAGCCACAGGCCCAACTCCTCCAGGGGAGATGAGGAGGCAGAGACCACACACACATCAGCCCAGGAAGCTCACCCGGAAGTCCATGTCCAGATTGCTGGGAGAAGCCACGGGATCCTTCAGGAGGGAGTAGTCAATGCCCACGAGGTCGTCCACAGGACTGCGCACTGTCGGGGGTGGGAAGGGGGCTCCAAGTCACTCAAAGCTGTGTGATGTCGGGTAAAGTGCATAACCTCTCTGGGCCTCGGTGTCTCATCCATACAATGGTGATACTTTCCTCATCGTGGTGTTGTGAGAATCAAATTGGTTTTATGTCCGAAGCACTTCGTGCCCGATGCACACTGTGTTCAATCATCTTAGCTATTATTATTTCTATTACTACCACAGGGTTTCAGCAAATCACTAACAGGACATAAAGGGGCTCCTTTTCCTCCTTGGCTTCCCCACCTCCTCTTCCCCTCCTATGTCCTGTGTGTTGGGTGTGATGGGACAAGGCCTCTGCCCTACAGGAGACAAAGATCACAGCTTAAGGGAATTCATGTTAACTGAGCACCTGTTACGTGCCAGGTGATGAAGACAAATGGGGCCCCGATGATCAGCAAGCACATGTGAGGACCTCGACAGCCACCCTCACAGCGGCCCCAGCAGGGAGGCGTTGCCAGTCAAGTGAGGAAACCAAGCCCAGAGAGGACTGAGTGCTTGCCCGACCAGGAGCACGTCAGCGGCACAGGCCACACTCGAGAGCGGAAAGGCCTACTCCACAACTGTACGTGACCATTGCACACTCAGCCTCCTCAACCCCACGCCACTTCCGGGGCCTGGCCCAGAGCTCCCGGCCTCAGCAGGCCAACTCACCAGGCACGGTGTCCAGGAGTGAGTTGAGCAGGACCATCCCTGCGTGGTGGAGCACGGGACAGATCTGGGAGGTGAGGGCCAGAGTCAGGGCTTTCTCAGAGAGGGCACGCCCACCCCCGCTGGCTCCCTCCCCGCCCCTGCCCACACCTGCTGGTTCAGGAGGAAGCGCATCCCCGAGGTGATGAAGGTGGAGAGAAACTGGTACACCTTCCTGTGAGGAGGGGCGAGAAGATGCCAGGTGAGCCCAGCTCCTGCCCATAGCCCCAGCCATGTACAGGAGAAATCGCAGTAGCCACAGATGGTGGTGGGAGGGCCTCCTCAGCTTTGGCTGAATCACCAACCCCTCCATGCGGCTTCCTCAAGACCTAGGCCCAACTGCCCTCTCCAGCCTGGTTCTCACAACTTCCTCTCCTGCTCAGCCCCCACCAGCCAAGTGAATTCACTCACAGTTCCTCATGCCTGCTCTGTACATCCCCACATCCATACGCTTACTGGGGCCCTCCCCTCCACCCTCAGCGCTCCTGCCCTGTATTCCCCCCATCTGGGCTCAGATGCTTCCCCTTCCAGGCAGTCTTCCCAGATCACCCTCTTTCTTGGCCCTTCTCTCAAGACCTTGATAACAAATGTTGTGTCCCTCCAGCCAGGCTTTGAGCATCTTTCTGAATCCTCAGGACCTGGCGTATATTCCCTTTGCCGAATAAACAAAAAACTGACAATGTACCAACACCCAATGATAAAACTTCCAACTTTTCTCCCTCACTCTCTCCCAGTCCGTGTACAAAGTCCCCTTGTCAGCCTAGAACCCAGAACAATGTTATTACTTTTGTATTGGAAGAGTTGCCAGTTGTGAGAACCAGTACATGCTAGTGTACTAACACCTGTGCATGCTAAAACAGTTCCTCTTACCTAAAGGCTAACACTCAGATAAGCACTTATCATGTCTTGGATATTGTTCTAAATCTTTACATATATGAATGCAATATTCACATGATCTTAAAACAGGTTACTACATCCCCATTCGACCAGTGGAAACTGAGGCACCGAGCGTCAGTGATTTGCCCAAAGGCACATAGCCAGGAAATGGCACAGCGGAGAGTCGGACCCAGCTGGCGAGACTCCTAAGCCTTTGCATTTCACATTGCACTGTTCACGTAGGTCAAGACTCCTAAGCCTTTGCATTTCACATTGCGCTGTTCACGTAGGTCGTGGGGCTCAAAGCAGGTGTAGTGGGGTCGACGAGGGGCTTACTTGAAGGTTCCCCCGAAGGCTGCATGCATTCTCGAGACAGAGGCCTGGCAGGAGACATTGGACACCTTCATCCGGCCAGTGGCATCCCGGGAGAGCTGGAGACCAGTGCGGATGGACACACCCTCGGCCGAGGCATTGATGTAGCCTCCATCATAACTGCCAAGGAGGGGTTCATGTTGGCCCCAACTGGGAGCTTAACTGAGTCGTCACCGCCCTCCTGTGCCCCCATGCATCGTACCTCTTAATAAGGCTTCACTTCCACAGTTTACTAGCCCAACTACTACACCCTAACAATCCTTACAAAGTAGGTTTGGCTGTTCCTACCATGCAGATGAAGAAACAAACTCAGGAAGGCTGACTGCTCATGGCCCTACAGCACCCCCTGCCCTCCGGACCCCCCACTCCCTCAGGGCTGGGTCCTCACAAGAACCAGTAGAGGAGCTGTCTCCGGAAGCGAAGTCCCAGCGACGCATTGGTGATTTGCAGCATCAGTTCCTGCTCCGGCAGGAAATGGAGCTCCGAGGACGTCAGCTGCAGCTCCATAACCTTCACCCTGGGGGAGGCCAAGGACCTCAGAGGTCAGAGCCAGGACCAAGACAGGGGACCTCACCCAGCTAAGGGCCGTTCAGTCCCTCCTCTTCCAGGCAGGCCTAGAAAAGCTGGGGCTCTGGAATGAACTCTTCCATTGTTTGCCAAGTGCCCCGCTTGGGCTTGAATGGCTCAGGGATTAGCTCTTCTTGATACAGACGTTCAAAGTGAGCTTCTCAGGGCCACCAGATGGCGTAATAGTTACGTGGCTGAACTCCCATTTAGCCATAGCTTGAATCCTAGACCTTAAAACTCAGGCTGGGCACATGTGCATTCATGCCCAAAAATCCTGAGTGGAGAATGGAGGAGAAGGGATTGTGGCATGGCCATTCCCCCAAAGGGTGATTTCTCACTTTCTGTCTCTCTGGCGAGCGCACGCACCCTATAACATATATCTCTCTTTAAAAAAAAAAAAAAAAAAAAAGGTGAGCTGCTCGGGGCCCGCAAAGTGAGCTGCTCGGGGCCAGCAGATGGCACAGCAGTTACATCACTGGACTCCCACATGGCTAACCATGGTTCAAGTCTCAGACCCAGTGGCTTGAAACTCGCACTGGGCATGTATACATGCATGCCCAAAATCCTGAAAGGAGAAGGGGATTGCAGTGTGGTCATCCCTCCAGGGAGTGATTTCTCACTTTCTCTCTCACTGTCTCTGTCTCTGTCTCTCTCTTTCTCTAGTGAGCACAAGCACCCTCAGACAAAATCTCTAAGAAAAAAAACAAAACAAAACAAAAGTGCACTTCTCCCTGTGTCTAAGAAGTCTTGGTGGCTTTGAATTTTGATTGTATAACAAAATATTTGTCCTAGGTATTGGTCATAGAAACAATAACGGATAGTATTTGAACTTAAAAAAAGTTTTGGACGAGCAGTTGGCGTAATGGCTATGTTGTTGGACACCCATGTGGTCGACAGTGGTTAGAGTACCGGATCGGTGGCTTAAATTCACGCCTTGTGCGTGAGTGCGTGCCCAAGATCCCGAGAGGGGAATGGAGAAGAGATTGCTTCGTGGCCATCCCCTCTGGGGGGTGATTTCTCACTTTTTGTCTGTCTTTCTGGCGAGCGTACGGGCCCTATAGCCTAAACCTCTCAAAAAAAAAGAAAAGGGTCTTGTTGCTTGGATTTCTTTCATACCCTGGGATTGCTAGACCTGCGTGTCCTCCGACTACCTCTATCACTTAAGTTCCACCCGACATGCCAGTTCTTTTTCCCACCCCATCCTAAACCACAAGAGCTCCAGCCCTGTCCTACACTCCGCTCTCATCCACAGGCATTCTTTGACCCCACCTTTCAGGTGCCCTTTATCCACGCCTTCATTCAGATTAGCTCCCCTTGACCACGCCTATTTTCACAAGGCCACGCCCATAGCCCTAGCCCCGCCCACGTTGGCCGGTTTGGCGTTTTCTCTTTTTGTTCCCATCCTGTTTCTTCAGTACCTCCTCACTTTGGTCACGTCCCCATTCCACTAAACCCTCGGGTGAAGAGAACCAGCAGGTATTCCCTAAGCCCCGCCTCCATGCAGACTAGGCCCCTCCCTCACGGTGGGGGTTGCGCCGGGATCCCGAGGCCCCGCCCCCTTCTACTCACTCGGAGATGTTGTAGTAGAACTGGCCCTCTCGGCCGCGCAGGTCGGGGATGCTGATGGTCTCCAGCTCCTGCTCCAGAAAGCGCAGTCCCTCCTGCTTCACTGAGGCAGCAGGGAGGGCCTTAGCTCCCGCTCCCACTGTTGGAATGAACCCATCCTATGCTTCCCCTCCTGCCCCGAGCCTCACCCAGCTCCAGCGCTTTGGAGGTGACACGGATCTTGCAGCCCGGGAGCTCCGCGTGAGCGCCTGCCAGCAGCGCGAGGAAAAGGGCCCCGAAGAGAAGCATAGCGAACCGGCCTGGGGGGTGGAGTGGGGTCTCAAGAGTCATCCGGGCCCCACAACCTGCTCCTTGGACGTCCAACTAGAACAGGGGGCTGGCCGAATCGTTACCCTCCAGACAATTCTTCAGGGAACTTGGGGCCGATCATTTTGGGGATTGGGCAGATGCAGAAACTGAGGCTCAGAGGCGTGCGGCTTGCACTTCGGCTCCCAGAGGATTTGGGGCATCGGGAGGTTGCACGGTTTCCTCGTGCAACCGCCGCGTGACGAATTCGGACCTCCGGAGGGCCAGTTCCCATCCCCCTAACAGTCTCCCTCTCCTTTGGTGGTGAGCAGGCTCAGGCTTGCACATTGCCATGGCA